CAGGGGCCAGCCAAAGACAAGATTTCTGTTTATTGTTTGTCCAGGAGACTATACTCTGAAGATCGAGCTGGCCGACTTTGAAGGAGAACGCCGTTTTGCACAATACGAAAGCTTTCGGGTGGGCAGTGAGAAGGTAGGGAAGGAACTGTGGGAGCCACTGATGGAACCCAGAACACACTGAGCTGTCCTCTTTCCTCTGGGCCCCGGGCGGACCCTAAGGAGGCTAATCCTTCCCCATAGAGTGCCTACGAGCTGAGCTTCCGGGAATACTCGGGCACGGCGGGAGACTCACTGGCAGGGAGCTTTCATCCTGAGGTCCAGTGGTGGGCCAGTCACCTACGAATGAAATTCAGCACTCGAGACCGAGACAACGACAATTACTCGGGGAGCTGTGCCAAGGAGGACAGAGCAGGCTGGTGGTACAACAGGTCACAAAGCATTTATTAAGCACCTATTGTGTTTAGGCCCTGGGGGACAAGCTGGGGATGTGTAGGAAGATAGAAAGCACTGTTCCTGGACCCGGGGAGTTCACCATCCAGCAGGAGAGACAACCGTCCAACCACTAGGCCCCAACGAGCCAGAACCGAGGTCAGAGGGAGAAGGTCCAGAAGGAAGGCGCTAGAATTAATGGGGGTTGGGAAGGTTTCCGGTAGAAGGTGGGGTTCAGGAGGCCAGGGTGAAGATGAGGAGGGAGAAGAGAATGGAGGCAGAGGCCTGGCTCTTGTCAGGGCTTTCTGTGAGCAAGCAAAGCCTTATCAGAGGAGAGAGAGGGAGGGAGCTGGAGTCTGCCTGCAAGCTGGATCTAATTAGGACTACCCAGCCCAGCCAGGAATTCAAGCCAAGTCTGCCTCCCGGCCCTTTAAAACGTAGCAGCCCGGTCAGCAGAAGCCCAGAGGAGGAGTCAAGAAATACGGGTTTGCGGCCTTGGCCTCCAGCGCAGGTCCCAGGCACAGTCTCAGGTCACTCCCAAGCCCCAGCGGACCACCCTCCACTTCCTCCTCTGGACCGGGGAAAGTGCAAAGGTGGAATCTGAATGCTGGGAGTGAAGCAGCCTGAGGCAGGGAAGCCTGGGAGAGGGGAGAAAGCAGGCTTTAAGCAGGCCAAGCTGGCCGTGATGATTCGTTACACAGACAAGCCTGGCAGTGCCGAAGCCTCCCTGCCTCCCCGGCTTCCAGACCCTTCCTTCTCCAATCAGTCCTCCACATAAGGGCCAAAATAATAATACATAATAAAATGAATAGACCATCATAGCTAGCTTTTACATAGCACCCACTATGTGCCAGGCACTGTACTAACGGCTTTACAAATATTATCTCACTTGCTCTCATAACAACTCTGGGAGGTAGGTGCTGTTAGCATCCCCATTTTACAGATGAGGAAACTGAGGCAAAGGCAGGTTAAACGACCTGCCCAACATCTCAAGGCTACTAAGTGTCTGAGGCCGGAGGTCTTCCTAGCTCCAGGCCCTACCTGCCTTCAGAAGCTACAGGGGATTTGGGGCCAATAGTATAGAGTGAGGGCAAGGGATGGCGTTCACCTAATAGGAGCCATTACAAACCTGTGCCTGAGACGTGTGAATCTGATCCAAAGGGCCGGAGTCAGGCAGAGCCAGGTTCAAACCATCCTCTGACACAGAGTGAATGTGTGAGCCAGGGGAAGGCACCCTCCAGAGCTTCAAGTTACAGAACAATTGGGTATTTGCAGTGTTGGAGGGAATGTCCTCTCTGGGAGTTCTTATCATGGTGGGATCACAGACCCAGGACACTCCCACCTCCCCTTAGAGAGGCAGGGACCCCCCTCGCTCCTGACCCCGGGCCTGGCACGCCGTGTCATCACGGAAGAGGCCAGGAAGGATTTCTTCATCGAACGAGGGAGTTTCCTCAAGGTCCCGCTCCATCCACAACGCTGTGTCTTCCATTTCCCTTCTCAGGTGTCACTCGGCAAACCTCAACGGTCTATACTACAGAGGGGCCTACACCGGCGAAACGGACAATGGCATCGTCTGGTACACCTGGCACGGGTGGTGGTATTCTCTAAAATCCGTTGTCATGAAGATCAGGCCCAGTGACTTTGTGCCCAATGTCATTTAGATGTGCGTCGCCGGCGCTCCTTCCTTCCTGCCATTCCGCGCTGAAGACACCATCCATGGGGTGATGCTGCAGGCTAGGGATGGAGCTTTCCAATGGCCATCTTGTCACTGTCTCGCCATTTATCACATAGTGCACTTTCAATCAAGAAGATGTAATGAGAAATTAAGTAAATAAATGGTGGTGATCAAACAGGAAAAGGTGGGAAGCAGTGTGGGGGTCCTGCCTTCAGGGAGATTACAGTCGAATCCATGAGACAGCCCAACAGAAACCCAAGAAAAGTTGGATCCTTGTACGAGAGCCGGATGACAATGAGGAGAACACTGCCTCTGGGAGGGGAGTCTCGGGCGCCCTGAGAGGCCGGGGCCAAGAACCAGGGCAGTGGTGGTCCCTCTGCGCTGGGCCCTGGCAGACCGCAGCCACAGCGCCCTGCTGGCTCCAGGGCCACATCTGTGGAAGGGCGAACATAAGCTGGAGGGGGAGAGGCTGCGGTGCCAGAGTGGAGATGAGGCCAGGAGGCCTTGTTCTCCCATCTCTTCTTTCTCTGGCATTTTAGGATTTGCAGGGCACTTTGTTCACCACAGTCATGGTAACAGTAATAATAACAGCGAGCATTTCTAAAGTGCTTTAAGGTTCACAAAGCTCTTTTGCGAAGATGATCTCATTGGGTCCCCGCAGCAGCACTCAGAGAGGTAGGTGCTATTATTAGCTCCATTTTACAGGTGAGGAAATGGAGGCAGATGGAGGTTAAATGACTTTCCCAGGGTTATACAGCTAGCAGGTGTCTGAGGCTGGATTTGAACTCGGGTCTTTCTGAGTCCAGGCCCAGTGCTCTAGCTGCCATGTACCTTACCCAGCCCTGTGACAGGAGTCCAAACATTACCTCGTTTTAATGGTGAGGAGGTGGAGGCAACAAGAGGTAGAGGCTTGCAGTGAGTGTCTCACCGAGGATTCCAACCCAGACGTCCTGAGAGCCGACACCTGGAAGGGAGTTTCTGCTCATTGTGCTCATTGGCCCCGGAGGCCAGAACAGGAGCCTTGAATGGAAGCTGTCAAGTGGTCTGCTTGGGCAAGATGGCCCAAAGACCTCCCCAAGCCCCGCACTGACCCTAAGAGCAATGGCGGGGAGGGGGCTGTTCCCTTCGCTTGTTCCAAACCTGGTCTTGTCCGAGTGCCCTGCTCCCTCTAGGAGAGAGCCTCGTGGGGGGCAGCCGACAGGAGCTCCGCCCCCCCTTCACCCGCAAATCATTTCAATAGCCCCCATCTCCTCCTTCTTTGCTCTAGTCTTAGAGAATGAGGGGGCCGAGGCCAAGCCCTTGACTCATGCCCTTGACCCCATCCCCCTCCCTCTCCTCCAGGACTTTGCTCTCTAACCATCTCTGTCTGTCTGTCTGTCTCTGTCTCTTTTTCTTTCTGTCTCTCTGTCTCTCTGTCTGTCTCTCTTCCTCTCTCTCTCCCTCCCTCCCTCCCTCCCTCCCCCCGACCCTTGTCTCCTCTCTTCCCTAGGTTTTTGGGACATTTCTCTGTCATCATTCTTTTACCTACCTTCCTTCATAGGTGCCTCGTCCACATCCTGCCCCCTGAGCATGGGAGCTCTCCAATGTTCCACCCTAGGCCTTCTCCTCTTCTCTCACTCCATTCTTTCTTCCTGGTCTCCTCACCTATGATTTCAGCTACCACCTTCGTGCAGATGACATTCAGCCCTTACCTCTCTCCTGAGTCCCAATTCTACATCTCTAGCTTCTTGCTGGGCGTTTCCACCTGGATGTCCCAAGGGCATCTCGAACTCCACATGTCAAAAACAGAACTATTTCCCCAGAGCCACACCTTCTCTGAACCTCTCTCTTTCTGTCCAGGGTCTCTCCCTACTTCTGGCCCCCCGAGTCCACAAGGCCCAGAGTTTGAGAGACGCCTGCCCTGGGAAGGTTTCTGAACAGAGGTTGGGGATGCCTAGGGCTGAGCAGATGGACATGGGCTCCTGGTCTGTCTTTCCTTTCCCGGTATCCGTCCTTTTCCTCTGGGTGAATGACCTATGAGGCTTCCAAGATGGGCTCTGAGGCTGAGGCCGGAGACCCTCAACCCATCCCTGGCTGGCAAAGCTACTGCAGATTGTCTGTTGCCTTTCTTTGCATTCCCAGGGCTTAGCACTGTGCCTGGCACATAGTAGGTGTTTAATGCATGTGTATTGACTGGCTGACTGCATCTCGCTAGATGTCATCATTTCATTCTGTATGGCTGGTTTCTTTAAAAAGCATCAGCCTCTCTGCCTCATACCTCAAAAATCAAGTCAACCAGCATTTATTAAGCACTTACTGCATGCCAGGCACTTAGCTAAGTGTTGATGCACTAAGCTACCTCTAAACCCTGTCTCCTGTCAGAGCAACATCAGAATTATTTTGGGTCCTACCTTCTGGCGCTTCCTTGATATCACCACCTCTCCCCATAACAGTAATAATGGTAATAATAATACGATATAATAACTAATATAATATAATAACCTTTTATCATAATAACCTTTCTATAGTGCCTACTATGTGCCAGGCACTGAGCGAAGCACTTTACAAACATTATCTCGCTTGATCCTCAGAATAGCCTTGGAGATAATGCTATTATGGTCCTCATTTTACAGATGGGGAAACAGAGGCAGACAGTGATGTAGTCACTGGCCTAGGAAACGTCTGAGGCAGGCTTTCCACCCCAGGTTCCAGGTCCAGCACTTTGGAGCCACTTTGGCTGCCCAAACAGCGAGGATTTAGAGGTAGGAAGACTCTTAGAGATAACTTGGTCCCCCCTCCTCGTTAAGAGCTCTGGACACTGAAGAGAAGACAAAGATCAGAGGCCCACACAGGGTTAACTCCCAGCTTAGCACCCTTTGCCCTTTGAAATGCTACAACCCACGCACAGTTCTGGAGGGAAGGAATTCACCCAAGCTGGCCTATGTATGGCATTGAAGCAACTTAATTCCATTAAAAAAACAAGCACTTAGTAAGTGCCTGCTGTGTACAGACACTGTGTTAGGGGCACACAAAGCCCAAAAGTAAACAGTGCCTGTCATTAAGAAGCTTACGTTCTGCTGGGACCCCAACAGCACTCGCAGGAGGGAAGATGAAAACATACAAGGGAATTTGAGGACAGGTGGTTGAAGCATGAGGAGGATTGGGGAGGCGCGGGGTGGCGCATTCCCCATACAAGCCCGTGCTTCTTTGCTTGGACCTCGTCCAATAAATTGAGTTTGGATTATTTCCCTCCACGTGCCCACAGGCCCCACGTTCTAGAGCAAGGTTCTCAATCTAGGGCCGCTGAACTTGTTTTAAACAACGTATTGATCACTCCATTCCAATGTCATGGTTTCCTCTGTCATCCTGGGCGTTCAACAAACCCATGCATTCAACAATCTGAGCCTGCGAAGGGGTCCCCGGGCTGATTCACAGCCTGTGCCCAGCGCTCCAGGGCACCCTGCTCTGGAGCCTGCCCGAGGGCCCACGCGGATGCCGATGGTACCACTTTCCTTTCGGTCTCAGATTCCAAAGTGTTTGGGCCTGCTCCTTTGCTAATCCAATCTCCGGCTCTGCGAGTCTGCGGCGATGTTTCCTGGGACTCCACACCAGGGCTGTATTGTCCAGATGACTGGGTGGCTATTCAACAAGAATTCGCTAAGCCCCTAGCGGGCCCAGAGCTGTGCCAGGGGCGCGGATAGAGGTGAAGCATTTATTCAGCTCTTACTGTGTGCGGGCACCGTGATGCCAAGACGGCACCCCACCCTCCCTGCCTCAAGGAGCTTCCACTCTAAGGCAACAGTAGAGTGCCGCGGTCTCCACGGACCCAGGCGGAGACGGAGAGACGCAGGGGGTGTGAGCGGGCGATCCCCGCTGCCACCAGCAATGATCAAGACACGGTCAGGGAAAGGAGGAGCGCCAGCTGAGGAGCCGCAACGGCAGAGGGGCCGTCGGAGGACCGCCCTGCGCTCAGGGAAAGGGGTGGAAGGAGGGCGCGGACCCCGAGGGGCCGTCGGAGGACCGCCCTGCGCTCAGGGAAAGGGGTGGAAGGAGGGCGCGGACCCCGACGGCCCCGGCTGAGCCGTGCCGTGCTGAGGCGTGCTGACACGTCCAGCAGCGCCCACCCTCACTTTCCAAAAGCACGCCTGGTTTGGCCCCGGAGCACGGGGCGAGCCTCACACTAGGTGGAGCTCTTGACCCGCTGCAGCTTGCCCAGCAAGGGCCGTGGTGACGTGGCACCGGAGATGCCAGACGGAAGGCGGGGGCTGCGGCATCCCTTCTCCTCCCCGGCCCCGCCCCGCCCCGCCCCCCAAATGTGGAGCCTTCCCAGCATCTGCCTGGGGGGCAGCCCTGGGCACCCAGCCTTCCCCAGGGTCACCCCAGGCGAGGGATTCTGTTCAGGGAGTTACTCGGTTCAGTGAACGAAGTGCCTTCCATACCCGCGGTGGAGAGGCAGCGAGGAGTATAGCGCCGGCCTGGCAAGAGTGGCCAAGGCCTCTCCCTTAGACACTTTCTGGCTGGGCAAGTTACCCGATTCTTCCGTGCCTCAGTTTCTCTGTCTGTAAAATGAAGGGTGGGGGTCAGTGGCCTCTCGGGGCCCTTCCAGACCTGCATCTACAGCTCTGCCTGACACATGCTGGCCCAGAGAGAGCCTCTTAGTGCCAGAAGGAGCTCGCTGCAGCTGACAAGTGACTAATGGAGTTTCCACTCCACAGCGAAGAAATCAAAGGACCGACTCCCCCCCCCCCACCCCAGACCCCCGTATTGATAAAGTGCCGGGCTGGGTTCTGGGAGTCAAAAAGAGGAAAAGGACGACGTTATGTCCTGGAGGATCTTCAAGCTTAGTGGGGGGACCACAGATGCAATTTCTATGTAAATAACTGACAGAAAGAAAAGTCATTCAAGACAAACAAACTGGAGAAATAGGAGGCGGCAGCCAGAGATGACTTCTACCAGGGGGTGGGAGCTGAACAGGGGAAGCTTCATGGAGGTGGTGGCCTCTGACTTGGGCAGAGGAGAACGGCTTGCCCTTGGAATGAGCCCAGGGTCCTTGTAGAGCCCCTCTGATCATCTCTGGGTCACCAAGACCAGGAATAAGTCAAGGGCAGGTGGCCTTGAGGAGTCTGGGATACTGTAGGGCTGATGGAAGGAGAGGAGTGCAGATGCCAGGGCTCCTGGGTGAGGGCAAGTTCAGGGCCAGAGCA